ATGTGGAAACAAGATATTGTTGCAGCAAGTCTCATATGGAATCATGGGCCGATACGACCCAGTTTCGCTATGACGAGCCCACTTGGAATATCAAGGATATGGTGTAGTAGAATAGATAGTGAGGTTAGCGCATTGGGAGTTGGGACACCTTAAGTAGCCTCCCCTCGGTGGACAGTTCCGAGATGTATGTAGAAAATAGACAGTAATCGGCCACCATTCCTTTACTATATTGTTTTGTTGATCGCCCATCACACTATTACAGGAATACTGCAAGGCTTATCGCCTTCATCAATTCTATTCTTCTTATTTGTTAGCATGGTCTTGCTGATACTTCAAACTTCTTCTACCTTGGCAGTTGGATTCGTTGACGATACAAACATGCTAACAAAGTCAAGTGTAACTGAAGAAAAATGTAAGAAATTAGAGGAATAACATAACATCTACGGGGCATGGGCGGAAAAGAACAGCGTGAATTTTGCGTTAGAGAATTACCAACTCATGCATTTTACACGAGCAAGGAAGCGACACAAACTACAAGCAACTGTCAGCATAGAAGGATATCTGACCTTTCCTCAGTCTTCTCTTCGGTCCTTCGCATATACTTCGACCCCAAGCTTCGATGGGGCTCCCATATAAAGAATATCCAACAAAAATCACAAACACAAGTACAGTTAATAAGTAGATTTAAGCAGTCATCTTGAGGTGCAGCATTCAAGAAGTCAAAGCTTTTGTACAGCACGATAGTAAGACCAGCCCTGAATTACGGGTGTTTTATAAGGGCTGTAGCTAGGCCAGCGGGTAGAATACTAGATAGGATAGTCAAACCGCTGCGAAAAATGCAAAGAAAATGCATGGAGCTTATTACAGGGGCATATAACTCTTCCAGAAGCAGAGCACTAGAACACGAATCATCGGGTGTCCCGATAGATATATACCTGAAACAAAGGAGTGTCCAATACGCTGGACAATCAGAAGGACTACCTATCAAGAGAACGATGTTATCCGCGTGCAGTAGAGTCAAAAAGACCACAAAGGAAACTGAGAACAGATCCACCGAGGATCAATGGCTAGACATTGAAGAATGGATCAAAATCTGTGTCATGGAGAATGCGAAAGGGAGACAAAAAGATGCTGGAAAGGTGGCCACGTTCCAGGAGTGGAATAACTCATGGACAAGTCCAGGGAACGAGATACTATCCGGTCATCGAGCTTCGGTAGACCCTGAACATTGGAGAGCCGCAAATATCGTTACAGATGAGACAATAGGCAGAAAAAGGATTATCCATAGCAACACAATCTCAAATATCCACCGGAACCTTGGCAGGGCCCAAAGCTGTATTTCAGTTCAGATAAGAAAAGAACACATTGGTCTCAATTCTTATCTGTATCGAAGGAAAGTCTCTGGAGTAATTAATCCAAAATGCCAGTGTGGATATCCGTCTCAAAATGTCAAATATATGGTCTTGGCGTGTCCTCAGTGGGCAATGGGAAGAGGAGAGGTGCTTCAAAAGGCAAAAGATAGGTCCTTTACGGCAAAGATGAACAGCCCAGATGACATGGGTAGAATTAGAAAATGGATACTGGCAAAAGGCTGGTTTGAACAATTCCGGCTTGCAAGAGAAGTAGAAATTGCATTGGACAAGATGATGACACGATGTGGAAAAGGAATTAAGTTACGAGGAATGATAACGCATTTAGTCGACAAGATTAATTGTGTCAGAAGAAAGGTATAACTTTATTTCAGAGAATTACCAAGGTGTGATATTTCTACAGAGAAGCTACTCAGCACTACATACATTAAAAATTATGTCATATGTTCAGTTTTCCCTTAACTATTCGCCTAGATGATGTTGACGCCTGACGCACGCTTAGTGCAGTTGTATAACACCAACACAACTACTATCAAGTCCTCCACCGTGGTCGTCATCCCGTGAAGAAAAGCTCATCGAAATCGGAGCAGTAGGTAGACCCCTGGGACCAAATCCCTTCAAACAGTGGCAGGCTACTCGACCTACCCTAGACTCATCTGTATTTTCAGATGGAGCTCTCATAGCAGACCGAGCAGGCGTGGGGTACGTGGTCTATCGAGGACTTACGCAGGAGATTGGGCGAGGATCACTCCCGCTCGGAAACTCGGCAGAAGTGTATAATGCAGAAATTGCCGGGGCCACTGAAAGTCTTGCCGCAGCTCTTCGCAACCCACTGGCCTATTATGCCTCTAACGTCACTGTCTGCCTTGACAGCTAGGAGGCTGCCATCCGTCTGCTCTTGGATACACCCACAGCGTCCAGGTCGGCAAAAATATTAATCTTTCGCAATCTCGCAATGAACTGGAAAAGAAGATCACGCGAACACAATACGACGCCTGGGAAAGTGGCGATTAGATGGTGCCTAGGCCACGCAGGTATTCTCGGGAACGAAGCAGCCGACGCGCTTGCCAAAGCTGCCTGTGCAGCTCCAGCTCCACACTTAGAACTCCTCATTGCGAGGGCAAGGAGAGAAGTCAAAGCCCAATACGAGGCTTCGGTCGCACTATATTGGGCAGAAAATGCCCCTTCTAGATACAAAGAACTAGGAATTGGCCCTAATACGAAAATCACCGTTGGGCTCGCCCGTCTGGGGCGATGCGTATTAGAATATCTACTAGATTCACGGTCCGGTCATGGCGACTTCGCGAACTGCCACGGACGGTTTCAGCATGAAAACGTCATTCTAATCTGCACATGCGGAGAAGAGAAGTCCCCCGTCCACTTTTTCCATTGCCACCTCGGGCAATACCAAGCTCAGATTCACAGGGCACAGAATTCTAATCCCAGTGTATCCTGGGCTCTTGCTTCGGCGGAGGGAGTTGATGCATTCAATAATTGGGTGCGTGTCACAGATTTCTTCGAAAGGGCATAACGAATAGTCTGATTCGAACGAAATCACGATCTGATGTAATCAATCTTCTCCTTTTATTTTTTATTTTATTTTGTGAAATCTTTTCTTGATTTAGTACCAACTGCATAGCATGAGATTCGTTGGACGGACGACCTTCATGTACACTATAATCTTCGAGTGTAGGATGATAAGATTCTAGCTTTTGTTTGCTTTGTTGGGTCTGTGTGGGCGCCAACATGTCGAGTAGTTTAATCTAGACTGGGCTAACCGGTACGTGAGGAACTCACGTGCTATGCGCGGGCACGACGTTAAATATTATAAATAAATAAATAAACTACTATCAAGTCAAGGGCAAGACGGATTAGATTAGATTAGATTTATATTATAGTCCTAACTGAGTCAATGACTATAGAGGACTCCTAGAATCCATATATAAGATACTAGCTACATTATTTCCTTTCCAATTTTACAATTTTTAACTATTTTCTCATGGACAGTGAGGGTCAAAACAGTTGAAGGGGTCAACTCAACGTGTCACCAATCTGACACGAACACTTAGGGTAAGACGGAATTCACACTATATGATCAGTGTAAACGCATTTCCAACAGGAAACCTCAGAAAAATCAATAGACATTGGACAGATAGTTTTGGGGGCCTTTACCGGATTATTTCCTCCGATTTAAATATTATTGCTAGGTATACCTGCATGAGCCCAAACAGTACCTTAATGGGCAAATTAAATCAAATATAATTGCAAAAACGTATGGTCTTGATGTGTCGTCAATGGACAAAGGGAAGGGGAAAAATGCCACGATCAATAAAAGACCGTTTGTAGAGGATATGAAATATAGCCCACATGCTGTTGGTAGAATCACAAAGCGGATACTATGTAAAGGCTGGTTTTGACTAATTTAATTTGTTAAGCAGAGACAGAAATTCTCAGTAGAAAGAGTTCATTGCGAATATAATAAATGGAATAGACAATATTAGTGTATTTCCTGAGGGAGAGGTTAAAAACTCGGTACATTAGTTAGGCAAGATTGTTGGGCTTTTACTGAGATGGCATCTTTTATCAATGTTTTGATTGTAGACAGATGGATGGGCCTGTATAGTAATTGAACAGGATAGACGAAGTCATCAAACTAAGACTTGTAGACTTAGATTATTTATACAACTCTAGATTTGGATACAAAATTACTATTTGGAAGCGCAAAGGGCCGTATAATTTAAATTTGGACCGACCAAAACCTAGTAGCGTCAGCTGTTCAGCTGTCGCGTCCTTCATTAATTCTATCTTTTTATCTTGAATCCTATGGTTTCTTGTACAAATTTGTAATAAACAGCATCCCTGTAAGATAACGTTCCATTCAACATGAGCTAATTTTTGGTCTATTAAATTGTTTTTCGCGCGGTATGTGCTCTATTTGGGCCCACAAGATAGACAAAAAAGCACAATTTGTTACACAGCTCAGTCTGTCCTATCAACCCTCATATTTTGCTTAGCTAAGACCTAGATTCTGACCTTAGTTAATGAGAAGCTTTAAGTTGTGCTCATTGTTCGTTTGGTCGGCTTGATTCTTTACGTTGAGTTTTTTTCATGATCCAAATAACTAGCCGTCACTTGTTCCTCAGCGAACATGACAAGAGAGAAGATCAAATTACACCGTGTTTTTTACTGCCGGGGCACTTATTCCATCTTGAAAGTAATCTTGAATCTGACCTACAGGGAAAGTTAGGCGTGAGGTAGATGAGGACCTGTTTGACTAACATGGTGCGCTATGATCTTTAACTTTTTGTGCGCACTGTCTCTGCTGGAACGCGTAATTTTCTTCACAATCACGTTTTAAAAAAAAATTATACTAATTCCATCAAATTCGGAATTTTTTTTGAGCTGATTGTCTAAGTCCTTGGCTGACTGCGCTCGATGTTTGCCCGGCTATTTCAGAGTACCGAGTGTTGCGCTTAACCATGAGTCAGAAGATCATTGTAACAGGTGGTATTGTTATTACTCGTTATGGACCATGATACAAACGAAAGATAGCTATCAATAACATCATATACTCACTGAAGGAGTTCAGCAATTTATCAGCTTCAGCCTGAATTAGGATTTTCATCTTAGTTAGGTGTTCCAACCATCTCCCCAGCCATCTTCATCATCGTCATCACGAGGCGTTGTGTCTATTTTGGTTGCAACAGGTACCGTGGTGGCCTGAGTTTTCGTATTTTTATTTCTTGTGGGAGTGTTTTTCACACGACTTGTCGAGACAGTAGCCCCTAAAGTCACAGATCTGGCAAGCCCTTTAGGTAAAGGTTTGCTTCCAGCTTTCTTTCCAGCTTGGGCAGCTAGCCAGCCGGCAAAATCTGGCTCATCCTCTTTCTCGAACGGATTTGAGGCACTGACATACGGTGTACGTACGGACTCGGAAGGCGCGTCAAAAAAGGTATCGTCTTGTTCCCAGACGTCAAAATCTATTTCCTCAGTGTCATTTTCTGTAGAATAGTTGTAGGGAGTTGTAGAGCTGGATAAGTTGTTAACTCTAGTTTTTGATGTCGGAAAGTCGCTTGAATTCGTATTTGGGGCAACAGTTTTGCCAGTTTCATTAGAAGGAGCAGAAGAAGGACGGGGAATCATATTTGGAGAATTATTTGATATTATCTCGCCCGCAACCCCAGAAACTTTATTTGTGAAAGAAGATATAGCCCATCCTGTCCAGGAAGAGGTTTCATTTGATTGAGATGGACCCATGTGTGGCGCTAATGTAGAGGAATCTGTTGCTGGTGGAGAAAGAGCTGAGTCCGGCAAAGCAGATGCAAATTTACGTATTTTTTTAAAAAATATATCAATTGTCTTAACTGCTTGTTCTCGGACTAGGTTCTCCTTGTCAATTAGGCATGGGCACAAAGCAGGCAGTATTCGGTTTGCACAATCTTCCGCACTAAATATATCCGAGGTCACGGACATGGCTGTGAGAGCTGCGTGACGAGCATGGACAAAAGGATCAGCCAGAGAACGTGTGAAAGCTGCTATTAAGACCTTTGCACGAGTCCGGTCTCCAAGGTTTTTCGATATCTTTCCTAGACAAATCGTAGTATTTGTTCGAATACCGGGCTGTTCGTCATTTGCGGTTTTAGCAAGATGCCTTAGTAACTCTCCATTTATGGTTTTTTCTGAAAGTTTGTTTATGATTGTAAGAACAGATTTGACAGTCTGCTCACGAACAACAGGTGCAGTGTCCGTGAATCCGGTCACCTAACTTGGGTAAGTTGAGCAGGCACAACTCTTTGGGACGCTTGAAACTAACTAATTGAGGGAATATTTTATCATTAACGATTTTATAGGAAATTCGATCAATTATATGCGGTAGACTATCAAGTAGTGATACGCGGATAGCCCGATCAGAACTGTTGAAAAGTCGCACTACTGCAGGAGATATTTTCAAGTCAAATTCATCATCGGAGAGATTTTGGCTGATTTTTACAACGACATCCCAAATCTTGGAGCCGCCTCCTCCGAACTCGATGGATTTTAAAAGCTCCTGCAACACCTTTGTCTTCAAGTAATCTTCTGGGAAATCATCGGATAATTGTTCTAAGTCCCTTCGTCTAGATCAACAGATGAAATCGAGCTTGAGGTATTTACTTACGATAAAAATATTTCTCTTTCGTGTTCACTTTTCATTCCTAGTTGATCTACTTCTTCCGTCAATTTTATCAGTCGAGTGCTGAAGAAACCACCGTTTCGACGACCTTGATCGAGAAAGTTGCCAATACTAATCCTAGCTTTTGGATTAACATTTGTTAGACGCCGATAACCTGGAATCATATCTGAAGGTATGTTTGTGGCCTGCGTAGCTTGTGTCTCCCCGGAAAATTTTCCAGTAAACACTTCAGAAATTAGAACTCCAAAGTTGTAGGCGTCAACTGCAGTTGGTGGGTTGTTTTTGATCGTGTTCCAACTAGATTTAGCCAGCTCAGGCGGCGCATACTTCTTGGAGTTTGGAACAAGACTTCCATAGTTCTAATGCTGAATCAATTATAGCGCCTTTTTTCTGTTTGAGGCATCTACTCACATGTATGATAGCCTCGGTATCATTGACAGAACTCAGTACTTCGAATCCACCCACTTTCCATTCGCCGCTTTCATTGGTAAAAATAGAACTTGGTTGAAGAGCTCCGTGAATTGAGGCAGCGTCATCGTTAATAAACTTGAATGTTTGCTAGCAATCAAGCTTTCGATTAATCACAATATTTCATATGTATGTGATGGTAAGTTTGACTTACAGCTACACTAAAAAGTCCCCACTTTATGGTTTCTGGGCTCATGCTCTTCCCCCTAATGCTGAACATGAGGGGTAAAACCCTTTCTGTCACAATATATATGTAGGACTCAGTCTGTGATAAGTTTGAGCTTTTGCCGTGTGATGACTCCCAAGTTCCATACCTCACTAGTATCTAGAACTTTGATAACTCTGGGGTGTCGAAGAGTTCGGAATTTTTTAACTGCGTTTCGTGCCAATGGAAGTAGGGATTTTTTAGCATTGATTTCGAATGAAAATATGCTACATTTTGATCCATCGTCCTAGTATAGCTTGAGAATCAACCCAGTTTCTAGAGTAAAGTGTACAAACACGTTTGGTACCATTGTAGAGTGTCCAGATTCCAAGGTCGATGTTTATTTGGTCGCCAAAACTGTAAGGAAGATGAGGGCCTTTTGATATGGCAGAGACTACAGCTGACTTTAAAAACTCCATGGGTTTAATAAGCCAAGTCGGTGACGTTGGCGGGCTGAAGCATTCATCGGGCACATGGGACTTGGATGTATCCACGTCGCAGCGCAGGACTAGCGGCCGTCAGGGTTCCACGGTGCACACAAGCGCAGTAAATTGACTTGTAATAGCTAGTGGCATGTTTGCAATGCCCCTCTCTATATTAGATTTTATATCCTAAAAGTATCCGCTACAAACCAATTGAACGACTTAGAAACCCACAATACCATCACTACAAATACTCAAACCCGACTATAAACTTATCCCGAGCAAGACTTAAGCCCATAGATCCCTAGATATTGGAAGAGCAAGCCAAATCTGATCACGTAAGTTTCACGATTGAGCTGAGTAAATTTTATTTCATTAGTCCACGATGAACAGAAACTGGTAAAAGGGCTGAAAACCTTTCTACGATGTCCTGGTTTTGGCTGAATCTTCGCAACAATCTACATGTAGTCATTCTAGAACTTAACATTTCTACTTGGCTTTACACATGATCCGTGAATACTTGGCAAGAAAATTCTCGCTCAAGTGAAAGCTTGAGTTTTGAAGTTTACGGGTAAACTTAGTCTATCATGACTCCCCTGCTGTTCGGATTTGCTTCTTCTATCATCTAAGATAAGCATACAAAGGCGGCAGGGAACATTTCGAAGCTCTATTCACCGGCTTAGAAATATTGTTTCAGGCCTGGCTGAAGCACACTACTGTTGGGTTCGAGCCCAAAGCCGATCATTGACTCTGGTTAATGATGTCGAAAGACAATTTATTACTGAGACTTAGCCCTCCGCTAGCCAATTTATTCTTTTGCATAGAAATATTAGCTAACTCTATTATAGAAAGTGACAAGACATGCGTTCTGCTGCTTTAAGCTTAGGAGAGCTCCCTCCAGCAAGACAGAGATAGATCTAAATCTCTTATCATGTAAAAGAGGCGATAAGCTACTTGGCAATATCAACCAAATGAGAAGTCAAATTTCCGAAGATTAAATGCGTCTTAGCTCACAAACTTCACTAAAATTTTGTCATATGGGCGAGGGTCAGTACCATCTGTCTACATATTGCGTGTATGTGTCCGTGTGAGGCTAGGTGCCTCAAGATAAGATTGCCGCAGTAACGCTCAACGCCTACGTCAAAGATGTTGGGTGAGTAATTGGCTAACCCTCCTAGCACCATCAAGTACGGTTTTCTTGGGCATTAATGATGAATCTACCACTATTCTAGTAAAACTGAAGCTGCCGCTATAAATATCTCTCTGGCTGGATGGTACTATGGTACATCGTCTTTGTTAGTATACTCAGTAGATTATGGATAGCTTGGAAAATTATCTCACACGAGACGGGAAATCGCTGGTTCTAATCTGGCAAAACTCAGGCACATTTCCAGCGTTGCCCATACGCATGAATAATGACGGCATGAATGAATAACCAAGGGTATTGGAACTTCCCTTTGGTTTCTACTCACTGAGGAGTGTTGAAAGTTCTGTGTAAGAAAACATAACTTACAATGGGATTTGCGAATGAAATCCAAAGTGTGATTGTCAAAAAATAAAAAAGAGTTAACTAAAATGTACAGATAGCTTTTATCTCGAGTCAAAACCAGATACCAAAATAAAAATCAAATGATCATCAAAACACAAAATACAGCCACACATAGCCTCCTTCAGCTACCATGAATAACAACCCTTTTTTTTACTGTTAACGGCAACTTAAACTATCATCAAATATCCACAGCAACATTATCATTTAGAGGGTCGGATATGGCAGTGGTACACCATTCGGGCCGTTTTCCCAAGTAGATATTGAGTAGCTTGAACACCTACCCTATTTAAGATAGGAGAAAGCTGGTTCGAATCCAGTAGAACCCACACACCATACTCACTCGTAGTGATATCGTACTTGTGGGATGATGAAAGCAAACTCGGATAACCATAGGTTTTCACGCTTTTCCCTGTTTTGGGTATGCACGGAAGAGGTTATACGCCGTAAGGGTTAACATCGAGTGGTATCTGCAAATGAAATCTGAGTGTGAGTTTGAGTGTTCTAAATGTTAAATTGGAGTCATCCTGCCTAAAGTACATGTCTTCCGATAAAAACCTGCATGGGCCTTAAAGTGCTAAATCAGGATAACTGAATAATTTATTTATTTTTATCCTTTAGAGAGATACAATGTACAAGTTATTACATCGTAAATGTTGACTAGAGAGCCTTACTGCTACGAATGAAATCTATGTATTGCTAGGAAGATCATGTGGCCTTACGAACACTTTCATAAGTACGTGAAATACTACGTATAGACAACTACTAAGTCTTTGGTTTACACAAAATCCTCGAACAGAGCGGTAAAGTACAGTGACCAGCGAAGCTACTGTTTAATATTCTTGGTTATCCCTACGTGTTGTGGTTATGAGCTATGCGGAAGTCACATTGCGCAGTGATGAGGAGTGGATGACGTTATAATTTGTGGTTGACAGTGAATAGACTCTTTTTTTTTGCATCAAGTGAATAGACTCATACAATACTATGCTGTAGGTAAATGGACAGAAATTGTAAGACCAAACTTGTATCCATTTATTATGGGTAAATCTATGAAACTACATACAGGCTCGCCTAACCAGTACACTAGTGATATATGCTGTAGCCTTGAGCCACACGCGATGCCCCAGCTTCGACGATTTCGTTGTCTCATACCATAACACTAAGGCTTATAATGTAAATTTTTAGATTAATTCGGCAAGTGTGTATCTACATATTTCGCACATCCTGCAGTATCTCTCCTTCAGATGTGTAGATACACTGAACATATTTATTCGTGAAAATTGAATCATTCCGACCTCAGATTTATCATCTCGGGAACGGGTTTCTTAAAGACTCAACCAGAAAGTCGGGTTTATATGTGTTGCTAGAAGGAAACATCAAGCGAATAGTTTCACTTGGTAGTTCAAAAGTGACTTGGGCCCCAGACTCTACGATTCTTGCTACTTCGCCATCCTGCCAACCTCCGAATACGCGCAACGGGCCCACTAGCTCTGCAGCTCAACACCACGATCGAACGCCCCGAGGGCTCGGAACTTAGATCACGCGGGTCTCTTGCAGCCTCCATTTGAAACACGTCTTGGAGGACAAGACTGAACACCTGTACGCGGTGTCCTCTACGAACCTGGGAGTGAAACATTCTCCCAGAGCTAAGTTCAGTCAAATTTCTCAATATCAAAGAAGTTGGCCCACGAGGCAATGATTCAAAATACTCCACCATATCAATCTTTCACTCCCAACGAAATCGATTCCTACCTAAGCCTCATCAAGTCTACAAGTACGACCTAGTACATCCTCATTCCAATGACCACACCTATTGTCGACTTTCTCTGGCCTTAGCTGGTCGCCAAATACACGCCCACGCCGATATTTATACCCGACGGAGGAAGCAAAGCGTGGCGCACAAATCTAGGAGATGGTTCTTTGGGATGGACGTGAGAGGATTCAGGACAAGTTGATAGGATGATGCAGAGGATGGATACAGTCTCGACGGGCCTGGAATTTAGAATTTTGGCAAGGAGTTTTTACAAATTGAGATTTGTGCGTGCCAAGACATCGGTTGCGAGAGTGCAGGCGACACTATAAACACCGCCATGGTTGGATGGTGCGGTGGTACTTCGTCTTGGCCGGTCTGCCAAGTAGAGTCTGGATAGCTTGGACACATATCCCACTTGAGACAGTAGATCGCTGTTTCAAATCCGGCAAACACATCCACTTTTCTCGCGGCGCTGGTATAAATGGATGACAAAGGCATGCTTGGATAACCAAAGGTTTCGAAATTCTCTTTGGTGGGTACTTGCGGAGGAGGGTCGACTGTTTGTGTAAGCAAGCATGCCTCAAAGCGGTATTTGCGAATGAAATCCAGAGTATGAGTGTTTATAACGTCAAAAGAGTCATCCTGCATGTATACATAACACCGGTCATGTGTCATAGCTCCATAGCTGATACACTTAAATGATTTAAAAAAAAGGGAGGGGGTTCTGCACACTAGTGGATGTTCCAACATATCTCCTTGTCTAACCGAGAACGAAGGATGTGAGAGATCCCAGCGCCAATAGATACCAATAGGAATCTATTGGGAAATACTTTGTCATACCAATGAGTGATGATCTAGGTTAATCATATCCCATGGCACATGTGCACATTATTCTAATGTGAACAGTATATTGTGATGCAATCATGTTACTCCGTTAATGAGGGAGACTATTCTCAACACCTGTCAGTGGTGTCCCCTACGAACCCCCAGCTCTCACTGTAGAGTCTACAGAGCCGAGATTGAGTAACAAAGTCCTCACTTCGATGATGATTCCCAATCGCTTTCGCGATCTGTATCGTCTTCATCTCTCAACACAATCCCCCATCACCATTATCATGAAGCTAACCACGATCAGATCAGATGGTAGGGTCGGAGCCCTACTCATCACCAAACCTTGATCACGGAGGAAAAGCCATCCAATGAGTTTCAGGAGCGTACCCAGCACCCGATACGGAGATGGTGGATTGGATCAAGATGGCCTCGACTGTTATAGAGAAGGGAGATATAGATGAATATGCGCAACTGTCCGGAACTGAGGATAGAGGTTACTGGGATACAATGGTTGCCATGGGTTACGAATTGAGTAATCGAGTAGTAGAAGGTGGACTCTATGAGACCTAGGTTGCTCAGGTTACTATGATGTATATATGGATTGGACAGAGCCGCAGTAGAAGGCCACGTCTTGTCTTCCGTCTTCCACTGGCCTTGTCTCCGACTTAAGATTCCCTCGTCCCTCGTCCTTAGTTCTAGTTACAATTATAAATTTACACCTTTGAATCATGCCAACCTCCTCAGATATTTCCCAAGTCACTTAGTAACACCCCCGACGCTACCTTTGGCACCATCGAGTTTGACAGCAACTCATGCAGATCCGGTGCCTAGGCCTCGCTTGGCTGGGACTGCAGGTTTTTTGAGACT